CTTCAGCACCCTCGGATGGGGCTCATCCGGGCCTGCCGACTTAAAGGCATCCAGTTCTTCCAAATGACTCTGTGCCATCTCAGGGTCTACGCATGGAAGTCTGGCGCCTTGCTGCTGCCTCTCTACAACCCCAGTGAGAGACTTGTCGTGCCCCTCGCTTAGGAACACTGAGGCAAAGAACTCGTTGAGGAGTTCAGCCTTGTCCCCTCTGTCCGTCACCAATTGCTTCTGCCCATTTAGTAGGGGTCCTATTCCTGCCTGGGCCTTCCTTTTACTCCCTATATATCTAAAAAACAATTTCTTGTTGTCTTTTACTTGGAATGCCATCCTCAGCTCCATGGTAGCTTTGGCCCGTCTAACTGCCTCCCTACAAGCACGAGCAGAGGAGGTATATTCATCTTTGGTGATCTCTCCCTGTTTCCACTTTTTATGTGCTCCCCTTTTGGCCCTTAGACTGCCCTGGATTTCTCTGGTCAGCCAGGGAAGCCTCCTGGCCCCTTTCCCTCTTTTACCTCGCACGGGGATCGTCTCGCTTTGTGCCCGAAGGATCGTTTCCTTAAGGCACAGCCACCCTTCCTGGGCTCCCATCTCTTCAAAACTCCTACTCTGCAGTGCGTCCTTGACTAATCGCCTGAGTTCATTGAGATCAGCTTTCCTAAAGTCTAGCACTTTCACCCTACTAGTTACCTTACCCACTCGACGTCTTATGGTGAATTCTATTATTAGGTGATCACTGTCCCCCAGATGGCTACACGGATTGATTAAGTCCTAGCCTGAGGGTGGGCAAAATATGGCCCACGAGCCAGATCTGGCCTGTTGGAAGGACTTTGGCCCACAGCGGACCCTTCAGACCCTCATGGCCCAGGCACCATCCAGCCCATGACACATCCCACTGCCTCTGGACTCACAGCAGGGCTGTGGTGGCTCTACGGCCACACTCCATTTCCCAGAAGCCCTTCCAGCTGCTGCCACCGCTGGCCCCATCCCCCATGGAGACAGGCTGGGATCTGCACAGGCAGGCTGAGCACACAGCCTCAGCTTGCCCTGCACAGGGGTTTGGGGTCCCTGCAGCACCCGCTCCGGACCCACCTGCCCCAGCCACAATGAGCAGTGGCAGCGGCAGCAGCCAGGCAGAAGCTGCTGTTGGACGTGAGGAAAAAGTAGGATCTGGCAGCAGGTGCCGGTGTGGCCGCCTCCCCCTCGTCACTGCCAGGGCCTTCTCGTTACAGTTACCCAGAGTGGGTGCTGAGGCTCCCCTGCAGCTTCTCCCCGCTGCTGCTGCCCACTGCCCTGCTGCTGCCAGCTGCCCCATCTTAGCCCACCCTGATGGTAGCAGCTGCAGCAATGGCCAGAGATTTGTTTGCCTAAGACCCACTAAAAGGTTAATTTGGCCCCGGCTGCCTCCACACCTGAGCGGCCATGCCTAAGCCAGGCAGCAGCTCCAGCCCCTCCCTGGGGTAGAAAGGCAGCCTGGAGGTGGCGCTGCTAAAGCTGCTGTCCACCTGCACCCATGCCAGCTCCCTGCCCACCCACAGTCCCATCCCACATAGGGAGGATTGGTCACTTGTTGCAGAAGGGAGGAGGAGCAGGGGTGCTGACCCAGCCTATGACAGCTCCCCAAAACTCCCTACATGGCCTGTGGGCCCTAGTCTGTTGCATGTCACAACAGGAGTGTCTTCTGTTTCTTGAGCATGCTGCAGCAGCCTATGGGGGTTCAGAAGTTGAAGGTAATTACAGCATAATGAGGAACTCCCGAAAAAATGTTCCAAGGGGCTACACACACTGGACATTCAGCCCCTGAGACAAAGTCATCTGGTGCAAAATGCTGCACCAAGACCCAAAGCAAAGACAAGCCCTGCAGCTCATGAGCCAGCTGAGCTTACTATCTAGCAACAGGCCTGGACAGGACAGCTTTAGCTCTCTGCCTGACTGTCCTCTTCTTCCAGCCGACAATAACTTCACTGTGTTTGTGGTGTAGGCACAGAAATAGGAATCCACAGGTCAGGGGACCACCGCAATTTGGGACAACAGCTGAGCAAGTTGCATAGTGCCTCCAGCAGGTTCTCCATAATGCTTTCCTCTGTTGTGGGAGGGCTGGGAGGCAAAATCCATTCCTGCTTATGAAGCAGCTTGGGAGCTCCAGTTTGGGAAAGAAGGTGAAGTGTCATTAAATTGTCAGGCTGATCTTGGCCACCCTATTCCTAATCTGTTATGGCTGGCTTTCCCCAGACCCTTCAGGACAATGAGTAAAGGAGTTGAAGAGGCCTTCACTCTAGATCAGGGTGATGATGAAGGATCACAGCAGACCCCTTCTTACCTCTGACCATCACATAGTCACACCAACTACTCTATCAGCTTTCTAAAATCAGGCTACATCAGAACACCCCTACCAGCATGAAGCAGCAACTCCATCATTTACACTCATACCTCCTTTACATTGTAATACTGTCACACTGGAGGTAGTGCATCCCAGCGGCTTGAGGAAAAGCATGGGAGTTTAACAACAGCTCTGGCACTAGTTCACGCACAGGGGCAAACCTGAGCAACTCCTGCAGTTACTCTACTTCAGTTTCTTGATCCGTGTAACAGGGATACTTATATTTACTTGCCTGTACAAGGTGGGGGGGAGGTGAAGATGGAGTGCCAGATAAGCCCATTGAAGATACAACTATAAATCAAGCTCTTTGCAAAGCCACACCAGCCAGACATTTCCTTAGAGGTACCTCAATACAAAATGTGCAGGAGGGTGTCATGTACCTGGCTAAATCACTGACAAGTTTCTTTCCAAGTTAATGCTGACCCAACAATGCCCCAGCACCCTGCTTGGCTGCAAAATCCTGCTGATTCTCAGGTGAGACACAAAACTGGTTGTGTGAGCTCATGACATTTAACAGAGGTTAGAACTAGGCCAGAATACCTACAATTCTATTTGTATTTTTCAACTGGAATCGTTATTCTTTGCTTCCTGCCTTAAGCTGCTGAAGCATCGCTGTGCATTTCTGAACGGCTACCACATACCACCTCAGAGGCAGCTACAGTTTAGCATCAGGTACCTACAATTCAGCAATCAGTTACCTAGGCTATAAAAAAATCCAACAACTTGGGGAATCCCTTGGGAGGAAGTGCTCAACCTGCACCCATCACTGACATGGGTACTGCCCTAAAAGTGCAGCACAAATAACAGCACTAGAGACAGACCAAGGGATAAAGCCCCAATTCACCAACCAGGCACTCAAGGAGCCATCCATGGTGATGGGAGCTGTCCTGCCTTTGCCACAGGAGACATGCTCTAGCCCTGACCTTCCAGCACTTGAGCCCATTGTCCAGGGTGAGTGGCGGGTACTTTCCTCAGAGATCTGCCAGTTCACACCCCCACCTGGTCCCTTTTGCCTGGGTACAGGTGTCAGAGCTGCTCAGCGTCCTGCCCTCACTAATAACTGACTCACGACTGTGGAAACTTTGGGCCCAGTAAGAAGAGAGGGAGCAGGCTAGTGTTAACCAGTTTCAAAGAGAAACCTGTTCTTATAGAAAGTGAAACAGCTACAACCTGGAGATGTAAGCAAGAAGAGGCCTTATTAGCCTGCTGCTTGTGAGAGGAACTTAACAGGAAGTTGTTGACAAACTCCTCAGCTATAGACCTTGAAGCAACACTGGAGAGCGTGGCTGGCACACGCCAGAGCCGTGCAAGGGATCTGTGTGGCAAGAGGCAGACCCCGCTGCGTGGCTTGCCAAGGGCTTGTAGAGCAATGCACACGAACTCAGGGGGCTCACACATGGGAAGGGAAGACGGATGTCGGAGAAGCAGGACGATGCCAGAGGGGCAAGAGGAGGAAGAGCCAGAAAGGAACTGGGGAGCGATGAAGGGAGGAGGCAAACAGCTGAGAAGTCGGCAAGAGGGGAGAAGCGCAGCTGGACAGCACGGGCGGCTGACAAGTGACAGGGCAGGCAGGGAGGAGAGACCAGACCCGGGGGCCGGGGCCGGGCACTCACCCAGGATGTCTGCGGCCAGCGCCCGCCACGTGGGGGCGAAGTGGACGCAGTCCCCGCACCAGGAGGCGTAGAACTCCACGGCCCAGGCGCTGCTGGAGTTGAGCACGCTGCGCTCCAGCGCCTCGCCCC